CACTTGGCCTGGGGTGGCGCTCAAACATTTGATTTTAACTTAACGTTCTCAGATGGTACTGATGCTGCTGGTTTAGTAACCATGGCTGCCACATGCCAACTTGAACTACAATATAAGTAGTATTTATATCTTTTAAAAAGGCCTCAGAAAGATATGATACAATGTTACTTGACAAAATTGAATAGCTATTCATGATCTTAATCTTTACTTCTCTCTGTGCTTGTAATGTTTCAGGGGGAAAAGCTCCTGTCTGCTGTGTAGAGAATGGATTGGAAAAGAGAGAGATGTGGCAGACCTCTTAGGGAACCGCTGCAGAAGCCTGGGTGAGAAGTGACCATGACCAGGATTGTGGCAGCAAAGAAGGAGGGGACAGATCTGAGACGCCTGTGGGTGATTGGGCTCCTTGGGTGGGCTAGAAGGAGGCCTGAAGGTGTAGTGGGTAACATGCTGGGCTATTAACCAAAGGATCCCACTCCACCAGCTGCTTCACAGCATGAGGAGGGGCAGTGTCCTCCTGCAAGGACTTAGAGTCGAGAAAGCCTGCTGGACAGTCACTATGAGATGGAACTGACTTGACAGCAGTTGGTTTGATGTTTGACTGTGAATGGTCTGAATGGTTAACATCCCTAGCTGCTAACCAAAGAAGTTGGAGGTTCTAGTTCACACAGAGGTACCTTGAAAGAAGGACCTGGGAATCTACTTCTGAAAAGTTGGCCAGTGAAAACCCTGGAGTTAACAAACTCAGCTCATTGCCAGCCAATCAGAACAGACTCATAGCTGGGTTTCTGAGGCTGTGAACTGCACTGGGGGAGATTGCCTATCTTTCTCCTGAGGCGCTGCTGGCTTGACCAGCTAGAGAGGTGTGGCCTTTGGATTAGCTGCGTAACTCTAAAACCGTCACCACCAGAGAGAGAGACACACACACACCCAACAGTAACTAATGTTATTTAATATCTTTACATGCTTGTGCTGGTGTACTGTTTTTGGATGGATTGGATTATTTGTCTTTTAGCCTTGCTGATGGCCTAGTGCTAAGGAGTTTGCACTGCCAACCCTAAGGCACATTGTTCGCATCCACCAATTGCTCCATGGGAGAAAGATGAGCAGTCTCCTCTCATGCCATTTACTGCCTTTAAAAACAGAGGGTTAGCTCTGTGTCAACTCTGACTCAATTGTACATAGCTACAACCCTGGTGAGGGGAATTTTTTTTTTGAGTTGTCAATCAGATATCTAAACAGAGGTGCAATGAAGCAAGCAGGTCTTGAGTTTTGAGTAGAGAGTTGGATTAGGTGTGTGTATATATGTGTGCATGTGTGTGTGTGTAATCTCCAGCAGCATGTGGAAGTGTAAATGGAATGAGAGCCAGTGTAATAGAAAGAGGCAAAGGCCAGGGTCTGAACTTTGTTGCACTTAAGCATGTAGAGGTCAGAGAGATGCTGTGAGGGCTCTAATAAGAAGTCTGAAGAAGAGACGCTAAAGAATCCAGAAGCCAACCAAGGAGGGAGGGAGGGGTGACCTTCCAGGCCACAGGTGGTTTTAAGTGCAGTCGAGTAGGTTCTGTCTCTTCGAGCTCCCACGTGACAGTAGAAGTGCCCCGTAGGGTTTGCCAGGTTGTAATCACAATGGGAGCGGATCACCGGAGCACTGTTCTGTGGCATGTCTGAGCCTTTTGCTTCACAGCAGTGCGCTTAATTGTCATGCCGTCACGGCTCCTGAATGCTTCTGGTTGCTGTGATGTGCCATAAGAGTGACCTGTGAACAGTGGATCTGAAGCTTGGCCTCTCCTGTGCCGTCTCATCATCTCTGACACACTGAGCCTGTTGCTGCATTCACTGTTTTGATCCATTTCGTCGAGGCTCTTTCTCTCCTTTACTGACTCTTTACCTTTCCAAGCATGATGTCCCTTTCCAACGGCTGCCTGGGCTCGCCCTCAGAGCCTGCCCAACATGTGTGAGATAGAACTTCATCATCCTTGCCTCCATGGAGTGTGCCCTGGTTGCACTTTCTTCAAGACATATTTATTTACTTTTTGGTAGGGCCAGCAAAACCAGCACTGCACATTGATTGTTTTGCCATGTGTATGTTACTGTTGGCAGTTTTGATAGTATGGTAGAGGAGCAGGGAGTTCAAGGGAATGGGGAAAGAGGAGTGGAGATTGAGAATATGGCTGTTCTTTGAAGGAATTGTGTCAAAGAGGGAAGAGACAGAGAGATAGGATACTAGAATCAAGAAGGCAGGGTAAATGATGGGGAAAATGATGACATAGTTGTAACCATTCAGTAGGGAGGGTCCATCTCTGATCCAGGGGATAGGAGAGCCCTGTGGGTTGTTAAAAAAAGGGGGGGGGAAGAGCTGTGCAGGGGTCTGGCATCCAGCATGGATCACGTGTGGAAGTTCTCTGTGAGTGCTGCCGCCACCTCTTATATTATCCTCCCACAGACAGGAAAGGAGCTTATCCACCAAGAGTGAGGGTGGAGAAGCACCTAAGATAAGTTTGAAGAGAGAATGTGTCCTTGCCTAACTGGTGTCAGGTCGCATGATCTGTCAGAGTTCCTGACCCACTGCGACAGGGAGGCCATACACCACTGGAACTTGGGGACGTCTTGAAAGTTGCTATAGAATTTTAGGGAAAGTAGAGTTTAGACAAAATTTAAATGAAGCTGTTTTGATAAGCTCAGAGCTCATCAGGACTATTGTAAAGTAGCCAGTATCCAGTCTATGGTATACACACACACAGAGTCCTACTTTCTTGGAAACTGCATTATTAACTTGGAAAGTTAAGAGTGATTTGCAGTATCATCTCCAGAAACTCCTTTGAAGCTCTGCACCTGGTTTGGAAATTAAGGATGTTTCTCTGGGACTCAGGTCCTCTAAACAAGAGCTGCTGCTTCTCTTTGCTGTGGAGTCATAACCGACTCACAGCAGACCCTCCATTGACTTTCCAAGGCTGTAATTTGCACAGAGGAGATTGCTCCTCTTTCTCCTACAGAGCCATTGATGGGTTAAAAACACCAGAGAAGAACAGTGTCCGGGTTAGCAGAGCACCTCACTGCAGACAAGGCCACCAGAGCATCCTCCCAAAAGCAGAGTATTTTTCCCCTTACAATCTGATTTTAAGCCACAAAACCTGATAGTCTGTGATTTTGGAGAACAAAGAAAGCTGTCATCAGAGCTGTTTCAGAGAAGACAGAACACTTTATAGTTACAAAATGTCCTTAGGAAAAATACTGTTTCTTGTTAACCTTGTGTCTGTCTTTTATCACTGTTCTCCCAACTTGATGAGCAGGAAGAAAGTATGAAAGCATTGTGCCCTCTCCATTCTTCTCATGACTGGCTCCTCATGCTTCAGTCTCAGCATAAATATCCCATTTTCCAAAGATGTCCTCTGTCACTGCTTCATCTGATTAGTTCCCTATTTTGTTATTTTCTGTCTTTGAACCCTCATTACAATTATTTAGTGATACATTTTTTTTGTTTGCTTGTTTGTCTTGTATTCTGCACTAGATTTGTCACCAAAGAACTACAGAGGGTAAGAACTTAATCTGTTTATTTACTGATGTCTTCCCAGTGCACAGCTGGCCACAGAGTAGCTGTTTACTGCACATCGTGTGAGTGAGCGGTCAGAAGATAAGGAGACAGAGGAGTGTTGGGACCACAGAGAAGCTGGTGAGAAGTGGGGGGCTCTGAAGCCAGAGGAACTGCCAGCTTCTGTGATGGAGGCCAGGTGACCAGAGGACACCCTTCAGGCTCCGAGAGCACGGGGACACTCAGGAAGATCCCAGGAAAGGAAACCATTTGGACTCTTTGGATCTGTCTGTTTGCACAGTTACAATGTTTATGTAACAAAACCTTTTCAGTACTCTGTAGCAGAAGGATTCCAGACCCTGAGTGGTTCGTCTGGATGGAGCCCTGAGCTAGGAGAAGGAAGACGCCCCTAGAAGGTGAGGCAACTCTTCACGTTGCAGGTCTCTCGGACACAAGAGCACAGTGTTTTTACTGAACATTACAGAGAAGGCCTGGTGGCACAACAGTTAAGCACTCCTCTGGTGGCCAAAAGGTTGCCAGTTTGAAACTGCTCAGTGGCTGAATGGGAGAAAGTTACATTCTGCACTCCTGATGGCTACAGCATAGAAAACCCTGTGGGGCAGTTCTGTCCTGCACCTGTCATGGCCATGAATTAAAAATTGATGACATTTAACAAAAGAAAGACATCACTAACCCACGGGTCCTACCAGTGTGGCCAGATCCATCATTGCAGTGTTGACCCGGTTCCATTCTGGTTCAGTGACTGCTGCTCAGGGACGCCAAGTGACAGGCACCTGTCATCAGGTTCCCCACCTCACTCCCCCCCATGGCTTCCCACCTCCTTGATCCCTCCACCGACCGACAAGTCAGTCAGTGATGCTGGCTCCAGCCCTAGAGCAGAGCGTGAGTGTTTCTGCCTTCCCGTGGCTCTATATTCCGAGTATCACTTCTCTCTCTCTCATGCAGTACCGTGATTCTCGTTCACGTATTCGTCAGCTCTTCTTGTGGGTTAGTACCAGGGCCTCCTAACCAGTCTCCCAGCCTCAGCCTCTCCCACCCCATTCATCTTTTACACCAGTGAAAGTCTTAAAAACGTTGTGTTGTTTTATAGTACATTGAGAGAGCACTCACCTTCCATGCAGGAGGCCAAAGTTCAGTTCCCACCCAGTGGACTTGGTGGGCAACCACTGTGCATGTGAGAGCAGACTCATCAGTAGACACTTGTATGTTGCTAGGTTGCTGAGCAAGGTTTATTAGAGTGTTAAAGGAGATTAACAAGAAGGCCTGGTGATCTCCTTCCTAAAGTCAGCCACTGGGAACCCTACAGAGAACTGTTTACACACACACACACACACACACACACACACGGTCACATCAGCTGGCATTGACTTGATGGCAACTGATGTTCTGTTCTGTTTTGTAAGATACTGTTGCTGCTTGTTATATATTTTAGGACATTGTAGGAGATACCAACATGGACAAGAAAGCCCAGGAGAGTAAGAGGGGCCCCGGCCCCCGGGAGGTGCCCCCGGCCTTGCTGCTGCTGCTGGCGATGGTGCTCATGAACGCTGTCCTCTACCTCTGCCTCGACCGATTCTTTATTTCCCCTCAACATTCCACCGCGGACCCCAGCCACTGCCCCTTTGGTTACTTCAGAATGGGATCAATGAAAAATTGCTCACCCTGGCTGTCCTGTGAGGAGCTGAGGACGGAAGTGAGGCAGTTAAAACGTGTCGGGGAAGGAGCTGTGAAGAGAGTAAGTTACTGCTTTACCCTGCGCCGCTGTCAGCGTGCACATGGGGTGGCCCTGCGGGACACCAGGCTGCCAGTGCATGTTTAGAGTCATAAGGTTTTCTGTACTTCCCAGAAATCTCACACCTAGGAATTTATCCTGGGAAGAAAAGAATCCAAAAGAAGGAAACAAACTAAGTACAGAGAGGAGTGTTTTGCTTTGTGATTTATAGAAACACAAAACCAGGAACAAGGGTTGTAGGCTGAACAGAGTGTAGACTGTGTGGGGATGGCCAAGCCTGATCTCTGTAACTCCACAAGGACTTTTCCTGTCAACAACATTCACAGTAGGAAATGAAAAGGTCAGACATGCCCTCCATGATCCTGGATATCATGCTTGGATGGTGGATGGTCAGCGCAGGAGAGGAAGAATCTGGATAAGATGGATTGATATAGCACGTGGGGCAGTTGGGGTAAGTTTGTCGGAGTCAGACTGGCTCAGGAGAGGGCAGGCTTCAGAGCTGTTGTACTTAGGGTTACTATGAGTCAGAGGCAACTCAACAGCACATAACAACAATTACTGGGTTTAAAATCTATTGCAATGGCCACAGAGCTTTAAGAACCTTACTCAAGAGTTACGGGGTTTATTAAGGAAGTTGATAGATACTATACAGGTTAGTAACAGGATGCAGTTTCTTAGTCAGGACAGCTTCTCCGTCATGCTCACAGGCCCTTTGACCTTCAGCCTCATTGCTTAGGTTAGTGTTAAAAGTTCTCTTGTTGTTGTGTGCCGTCAAGCCAGAATAGACTTGGAGCTGATCCTCCAGCAGATTTTCAGAAGCTGTGATTTGCTTGGGAGAAGACTGCCCCCTTTTCTCTCTTAGAGCAGCTGTTGAGTTTGATCTGCATCTTTGGGTTGGCATTGCAGCCCCTCAGTACCAGACTACCTTCGTACTGTCAGTTGCCTCATCTTGCCCAGTCTTCCAGCAAACTTGGACAAAGGCCCCTGGTTCTGGCTCCAGGAGGTGGCACACCCAAATCTGCTCTGTGCCATGTTGACCTCTGGTTTTCTGCCGAGGCTGCTGCTGTTCTGCTGTAGATTCCAGTCAGACAGCTGTGGGAACCTCTGTCCTGAAGGAGGCGTGCTGCACTCTGCTTCCTCATCCTTGCTGGTAGTGAGAGTCCCACCTCTACTGCTGCACTTGCTCAGTGTAAGCCTGGCAGACTGGGGAAACAGACCAATCCCATGATGACTAATTCATCACACCCCATTTCAGGGTCAGTCACAGAGTGAAAGTAAAATATGGCCAAGAAAACTAGTTTAACCAACCAGTCCATGACACCACATAGTTGAATCCATTTGGGTCAGTTCCAGACCACTTCATAAAGCAGCTATCACACCAGCCCCAGTACATATAAAAGTTAGGTTTACACTATTTTGTGGTCTGTTAAGCATATGATGATGATGTTAGGTCCTCTTCAGTGGAATGTAGCTCATAGGGGCCCTATCCTGATAATAAATCCCAAACAGTTTGAATCCTGCCCTATCCTTCACCATCTTCACAATCTCCAACACCTTCAAACCCATTGCTACAGTAACTGTTATCAGTCCACTTATTTGAGGGACTTCGTTTCTTTTGCCATCCCTCCACCTTTCCAAGCATGATGTCCCTCTACAATGAATAGCCTCTCTAGCAACATGCCCAGAGTATGTGAGACAAACCTTTATCATCTTTGCTTCCGAGGAGCACTCTGGCTCTTTTCCCAAGATATATCTGTTTGTTCTTTTGGCAGTCCATTGGATATTCAGTACTCTTCTGTAGCACCACAACTCAATAGCGTCTATTCCTCTTCTCTCACCCATATTCACTGCCTAGTTCTCAGATGCATAGCAAGTGACTGAAAAGTCCTGAATCTGCACCTTAGTCCTCAAACTGATATCATTGCTCCTCAATAATTTGGAGAGGTCCCTCACTGAAGACTTTCCCAGTGCAATATGTCTCCTGATCTCCTGATAGTTGGTACCAAGGGTGTTGATTGTGGATCCAAGTAAGATAAAGTTGTTGAGAGTTTCAGCCTTTTCACCATCTATCATGCTATCAGTCTGATGGTGAGAATTTGTGTTTTCTTAATGTTGAGATGCAATCCATATTGAAGACTGTATTCTTTGATCTTCTACAGCAAGCACTTCAAGTCCTCCTCACTTCCATCAAGCAAGGTTGTGTCAGCTGCATAATGTAGGTTACTGATGAGTCTTCCTGTGATCCTGAAGCCACCATCTTCTTCATAGAGTCCAGCTTCTGGAACAGTTTGCTCAGCATACAGATTGACTAGGTATGGCGAATGGAGACAACCCTGACACACACCTTTCTTAATTTTAAACTCTGTTTGCACAGAAGCTTCTTGTTCTAGGTATAGAGTTCACATGAACACAATTATATTCTTGGACTGCCATTCTTCTCAATGTATGATCCACACAGTCAAATACCTTTGCGTAGTCACTAAAGCACAAATAGAAATTCTTCTGGTATTCTTTGCTTTTAGCCAGGATACATCAGACATCAGCAGTGATATCCCTGATAGCATCACCTCTTGTGAATCCGGCTTAAATGTCTGGAAGTTCCAAGGATCTTATGTATTGTTCTAGCCATTTGTAAATTATCTTCAGCAGTATTTTGCTTGCATGTGAATATCTATGATATTTTTCTGCTAATTTACCATTCTGCTAGATCACCTTTCTTGGGAATGGGAACAAATAGGGATCTCTCTTCCAGTCAGTCGGCCAGGTAGCTGTCCCCCAAATTTCTTGGAATGGACATGTCCAGGGCTGCAGCTCTTAGTTGAAATATGTCAGTCGCTATCCCATGGATTCCGGGCCTTATTTTTTGCCAATGCCCGAAGCCATTCAAAGTACAGCTAGAACTTCTAGCTTTTTGAGAAAAGCTTGAAATATTTTGAGAATTACAAAAATAACACATTTTAAGGGGCATAAGACAAAGGCTTATTATTGATCTAACTTTGCTGGTTTCTTTGGTAAATATACTCCCATTCTTCTCTCTCCAGGCACCATAATCTGCTGTAATCTCCCCCCCTACCCCCACCCCTGTTTGATGGTTTAATCTTTGAAGCTCTCTGGAGGGCAGGTGCTGTCCACATTGTACTTTTACAGAATGACATGACCTCAGTGTCCACTCCGCACTGTCCTTTGCCGGTGTGCCTCCTCACCTTCTTGGGCCTGGGCCTTTCTTCTCTGCTTATGCCTGCACCTCAGTGAGCTTGTCCAGCCACACAGCTTTATCTGCAGCTTAAACCTTGCCCTTAACCTCCAGAGCTTTCTGCTGCTTATCCCAAATCTCCACTTAGATGTCTACAAAGCTTCTCAGAACTTACTATGCCCCCCTGTTCTCCCACAGATCCCACCCTTCCTGTGCTCTGCTCCGTGTCAGTGAATGGGGTGCCATCTTTCAGGTCTCTCAGCCACTGGACATGACAGGTAGCCTGCCTTTCTCCCACATCACATGCAGTCTATCAGTGTATTTTAGTATCTCTATAAGAGCTCTGATGATGTCATCTGTAGGGTGTCATGCTTCTGACCCAATTGTGGTACCTCTATGGTGGTTTGAGTCTATCAGCTGCTCTGTGACAGAAAAATAGGCAGTGTCCTCCCACAAGATTTACAGCCTCAGAAACCGGCTGGAGGTCCAGATTTGGGTTGGTTCTAACTCAATGATAATGAATGAGTTGAGTTTTCATTTTAAAGGAAAAAACTTCAAAACTATTCTCATTAAAGCCTTAGTGAAGCTGTTCTACCTAAGTAACCACATAGGTAGTACACCCATATGAGAAATAGTAGGCTTCTTTGAAAAAAGAATGACTTTGACCTATCTATCTATATCTCTTTATCCCTGGAGAGAATTGATAAGGCATCAATAAAATGAAGAAAGGAAATTACAATATGTATGTTATAATCTCATTTATTTAAAAGCAAATGAAAATGCTATTTTATAAATATACATTATTGGTGTTGTGTGCCATCAAGTTGGAGCTGACCCTCTAGTGGGTTTTTAGGGCAGTAAATTGCATAGGAAGAGAGTGGCCATCCTTCTCCTGCAGAGCAGCTGGTGGATTTGAACCGCCTGCCTTTGGAATTGCAGCACAGTTTCTTACTACTAGGTCACCAGAGCTCCTTAAAAAAAACAACACAACATGAAAAGCGGCCAGCTCTGGTGGCCTAGTGGCAAGAAGCTGCACTGCAATCCCAGAGGTGTGAGGTTCGAATCTACCAGATGCTGTGCTGGAGGAGGAGGAACAATCTCCTCCTGTACCAGTCAGATCCGATTTGATGGTACACACACAAAATAATAATAAAAAAAAAATTTTAAAAAACACACAAAAAAAACCCCTGAAAAGCAGAGGACATGATCAATGTTGTTGTTGTTGTTGTTGTTATGTGCTGTTGAGTTGCTTGCGACTCATAGCGACCCTATGTACAACAGCCCTAAACTCTGCTCTGTCCTGTGCCAATCGCACTGTCTCTGACACTCCCATCCCAATTATCCCAGTCACCGAATCAATCCACCTCATAGAGGGCCTTCCCCTCCTGTGCTGTCCCTCCACCCTCCCAAGCATGATGTTCTTCTCCAAGGACTGGTCTCTCCTCACAACATGTCCAAAGTATGTTAGACGGAGCCTCAGAATCCTTGCCTCCAAGGAGCCACATGATCAATAGGATACCATATTAACAAAGACTTCCAAAAAAAACAAAAAACAAAGACTTCCGTTGGGTTGGGAAGCAATTTGAGGGTAGAGATATACTTTATATCATTTTGTATTTGTATCAAAGAACGTATTTGTGTATTAATTTTACATTTTATAAGGAAAAAAGTATATTCGCTGTTCTTCCAAAGGAAAGAGTTCTGGAAAGTATTAAAAAGTCAGCAATTTAGAAATGCAGGGAAATGACTAAAATAGTCTCTGATTTGCTAAGAATTAACATTGTTGTTATGTGCCGTCAAGTCGCTTGCGACTCAAAGCGACGCTATGTACAACAGCCCTAAACTCTGCTTTGTCCTGTGCCAATCTCACTGTCTCTGACACACCCATCCCGATTATCCCAGTCACCGAATCAGTCCACTCCCTAGAGGGTCTTCCCCTCCTATGCCTGCCCTCCACCCTCCCAAGCACAACATCCTTCTCCAAGGACCGGTCTCTCCTTACAGAATGACCTAAATATGTCAAAGCCTCAGAATCCTTGCCTCCAAGGAGCAGCCCGGTTTAACCCTCTCCAGCATAATTCTGTTTGTTTTCCTAGCAGTCCATGGTACCCTCAATACTCTTCTCCAGCACCACAGCTCAGAGGCATCAATTCTATCCTCCTTGGTCATTGTCCAACTCTCTGATGCATAACAAGTGATTGCGAAGACCATGGTCTGTATCAGACACACCTTAGCCTCCAGAGAGACACCATTGCTCTTCAGTACTTTAGAGAGGTCCCTAACATTAACATTAGCAGTTGCAAATACTTGTGGGGGTTTAAAAAAATTGCTAAATACTTAATCTTTCACTGACACGAAACAAAAAAACGAATATGACCTAGGGTGGGGTTGAGGAGGAAGTCATGAGGCCAGTGGTTGGGCCGCTCCCATTTACTGCTGGGGGTGCACTAACAGCCTCCCTCAACATCTTCAACAACTGGGGACCTCTCACAAGGAGCAAGTTTAAGGAATGGATGCATCCTAACCCCAAATCCAGAGATTGGAGTATGTGGGGATGTGGATCTGTGGACAGAATGTATTCATTATAAAAAGAAATAGCTACTCATGAAACCTGTAGTGGATGCAGTAGCTAAGTAAAAGTGAATTTTCATAGAAGTCATGATCCATAGTGAAATTTCTCTTTGGAAGAATTTCCCTTTAATAGGATTCTTTTTTTGGAAGTTTAATCTCAGCAGTTGTTTCCTGTGTTTTAGTAAAATGAACCTCCATCCTTAGATCCAGAAGAAATTTTCAAAGTCCTCTTGCCCACTTCATTGTTTTATTATCATAGTTTCTAGCTAGTTTTTTAAAATGGAGTTGTAAACGTTGTATAAATTATAGAAATTTGGAAAAATACCAAGAGGATGATGGGGGGGAAAGGGGGGCATCACCCAGAACACTGAGGCAAAGACAACTGACATGTTAACATATTTCCTTTATTTCTTTGCAATGGTATTTTGTCATGTTTGATACATTTGGAAAAGTCTTGGGTAAATAATTTTGTATCCTTTTTAATTTATAATTTTACATTTATCTGTTACAAATGTTACAAATATGTGTATTTTGATAACCACATAATATCCCATTGAGTGAAACTACCATAACTTACTCAACAATTTCTCATTTTGCTATAGATAGATCTCAGTTTATAAATAACACTTTTATTTTTTTCCTAGATCTTTTGATGTATTTAATATCATTGCTTTCAGTATATTTTTTTAAATTTAGACATTCAAGTCTCTTTATAATCAATGTAAATAACTGTTTTCTGTGACCACATCCTTTTCCCCCCTTTTCATTAATTTACCAAATTCTAATACAAATTCGAATAAATTCTTTCCATTTTCCTCACCCCCCCATCAAATTGTACAACTCAATGATTAATCCCCTCTTCCCCCTTACATCCACCTCCTTTATTTTATGAGGGAGGAGCAGAAGTCCAGAGAGACACAGTTCAGTGGGAGGGACCAGCCTACGCAGGATGCTCTTCTGTCCCCTTCTGCGTTCCCTTGGAGAATTTCAGCTGAGATCAGAGTGTCTTCCTTAAATCACTGTGCTGCCCCTAAACTTTTCTCAACTTCTGTGAGGTTGTATGAGGATGGACAAGTCTGGTGTGTAGATAACATTTCAATTCCTGCTTCTATAGCTGAAGCAATAAAAAGGCCACTGCTTTTATGATTTGCCTACTAAGAATAGGGAGCTCTGGTGGCTTAGTGGCAAAAAACTGTGCTGTTATCCTGAAGGCATGAAGTTTGAGTCCACCAGCTGCTCCATGGAAGACGGATGGGCAATCTCCTCTTGTGCGATTAACTGTTTCTGAAAATGCACCTTCCACGACAACAACAAAGATTAATAGCAGGCTATTTAGAGAGGCCTTGGGTCTTCGTACTCCCAAATGCTTAACCAGTTGTATAAGTCCATACTTTCTATTAACAGCTCCCTCTGTGACTCAGTTCCCCAATTCTTCTCTAATTCCTGTGGGTTCAAAGATGTGCCAGAAGGTCCTCCAGGGACTCAGACCCCTCGGGAATTACTCAGGTGACAGTAGGTACGCAGGCTGGGTTTTTTTGTACAAGCTGGTGAGCAGTGGTCCAGGCTGGCGGTAACAGGAAGCTGTATTGATGTTTTCGCGCACCTTCTAGCGTGAAGAGTGCTCTCTCTCTATTGCTTGCTTCAGTTGATGATTAACAAGACCATGCTGATATGCAAGACTTGTGTCTGCAGTTACGGTAGCTGGATACCAGAGGGGCTAACTAAGGGCTAAAAAGGCCAGCTTTTAGGCTGACACCACAGCCTCTCACCCACTGCCATCAGGTTGATTCTGATTCTCAGCAATCCTGTAGAACAGAGCAGAGCCACACAGAGTGTTTCCAGGGCTGGGAGCTTTACAGAGGCAGCCTGCCACCTCGCTCTCCTACACAGCAGCTGGTGGGTTAAGCACACTGATCTTTTAGTTAGCATTCAAATGACTTGGCTATAGCACGAGACCACAGGGACATGTAAAACTTTTTCTTTGCATAAAGAGAATACTATTTGTAGTTTATGATGATGTTAATTTTATTTTAAATCAGTGATATTGTTGTGTGTCATGGTCTGGCCTCCACTCACTTATGGAGATTTTTGGGTCTGGACTCTTCCAGTCACTCAGTCGCCCACTCCCCACCCTTTGTGCTGCAGTAGTTTGGAACTGGCAGGCTGTTTTTCACTTCAGGTTCACCCTGCAGTCCCTGATTGGCCTTCCAGGAGCATCCTCTGCAACCAGTCAGCCATTCCTCCTTCCTCCTGCCCTGAGTTTTTACAGATGGATGTCCCCCCATGGCCCCCATGACTCTCATTTAGGGAGGAGTTTCCAGCTTAAGTTTTTCTCTGGCTCTTTTTTAGGTCTTCCTGTCTGAGTGGAAAGAACGCAAGGTGGCCCTCTCACGGCTCACCAGTCTAGAGATGAAGGATGATTTCCTCCATGGCCTGCAGATGCTGAAATCTCTGCAGAGCAAACACGTTGTCACGCTGCTCGGTTACTGTGAGGAGGACAACACTCTTCTGACTGAATACCACCCCTTAGGTTCCTTGAGCAACCTGGAAGAAGCCCTGAACCTTTCCAGGTATCAGCATCTGAACACCTGGCAGCACAGGCTGCAGCTGGCCATGGACTACGTCGGCATCATCCGCTACCTGCACAACAGCCCCCTGGGCACGCTGGTCATGTGCGACTCCAACGACCTGCCCAAGACGCTCTCCCAGTACCTGCTGACGAGCAACTTCAGCATCGTGGCCAACGACCTGGATGCGCTGCCCCTGGTCAACCACAGCTCCCGGACGTTGGTGAAGTGTGGCCACAGGGAGCTCCACGGGGATTTTGTGGCTCCGGAGCAGCTGTGGCCCTACGGAGAGGACCTGCCTTTCCACGATGACCTCATGCCGCCCTATGACGAGAAGATCGACATCTGGAGGATTCCTGACGTCTCCAGTTTCCTTCTGGGCCACGTTGAGGGGAGCGACATGGTGCGGTTCCATCTGTTTGACATCCATAAGGCGTGCAAGAGCCAGACTCCTGCAGAGAGGCCCACTGCTCAGGATGTCCTGGACACCTACCAGAAGGTCTCGAGTTTCCTCCGAGACACCGTTGTGGCGCAGACAAGAGAAATGCTATAGAGCCAGGGAGCAAGGCATGTCAGGGTGGGATGCGATCATTAAAGCAGCTCTTCTCTCACAGAGGAATTGTGGTTGGTGGTTTGTTTTCGCTTGGGCCTGGGGTCCTGTTGCTGTGCAGTTTAGCCCTGAGCTTGAAGTTGAACTGCAGCCCCATTCACACCTCAGTGTGTTCTGCCTCTTCAGGCATCCTGGGCTGAAGGTGCAAAGCACAATCAAACCCAGACCTGGTTTAGATCTGGCTTCCCGTTTCTAACTCAGTCGCTCCCTGGTGAAGATGCAAAGTACCTCTGACCAGGTTTGAGAAGAAGTAACAAATATGTAGCCACAAAAGAGGCTCCACCTCCTTTAATAATGGAATTCTTACATTTTTAAGAAATCTATATACAGATTTTAAAGTGACAGTATTTAAACAAACATATGATCATCCAAAGAACCTTTTATGGAATCACTATCTGTGTGTCTTACATGGTCGCAGTGAGGTTATCTCACCATTCAAAATGACTGCCCCGTGACACCTTTGTACCTTCTTTCCAAAGAGCTAAAGCAATAGAAATAGAATAGAAATTTCTTTAAAGTTAAAATGGTCATTGTTTCGTATTCCATCAAGTCAGAATCAGCCCATAGCTGACCCTCCAGCGGGTTTTCAAAGACAGTTTAATCACACAGGAAGAGATTGCCCATCTTCCTCCTGCAGAGCAACTGATGCATTTGAACTGCATGCCTTAGGGATTGTAGCGCAGCTCCTTACCACTAGGCCACCAGGGCTCCCTTTTGAATGGTTAGGAAAGGAATTATTTAGAACAGCAGTTGTGAGGGGAGTTGTGTTACTGCCTTGTGAAGTTCTCACCTGGCTTAGTGTTCTGGGTCTAAAATGAATTGTTGTGAACCATTTATACCAAGTGCTAGGCCACTAGTTCCTAGAAAGTGTTAAGCCTGTCCATGCCTGAATTGCACAATTGAATCTTTCAAAAGCTTTTAATAGCTGTAGAGGCTACATGTGGACAACTAAGCCTCATGGGGTTTGATTCCTCGAATTGGAGGTTTCAGGCTATAAATCTCATGTGACATCCCAATTAATCAGCCTGTTAAAGTTTTGCTCTACTTCTAGTTGGTTAGTGCCTGGAGTTTTACAAGCTTCTAAGCCTTCATCTAAGGCACAATGATTGGTGTTTATTTGTCAAAAGCAACACAAAGAGGAGGAGGCTATGGAATGTGTGGCTTATCACCTCCATGAATAATTCCAACCTGTGCCATGAGGCCAGAACTAGATGTCTGGATGCCATTACTGAATATTTTGCTCAAAGATTCTATAGAATAATACTTATCAAAAAGAGGGAAATAAAGGACAAAATTTTAAATTCTCATTATGCAACTTTTGTGGAGCCATGGAGGTTGGATGAGCCCTAGAAATCACTGGTCTGAGATAATCTTTAAACCTTCTATAAAAAAATACCTTCTAGGGGAGCGCTGGTGGCCTAGTGGCAAGGAGCTGCAACTACAATCCCAGAGGTGCACGGTTCGAATCCACCAGATGCTCTGCTGGGGAAGGAGGGACAATTTCCTCCTGTACCAGTCAGATCTGATTTGACGGTACACTCACACACAAAATAATAATAAAAATGTAAAAAAAAAATACTTTCTGATGTCTTAAAGCAAAACAGTAGTTTAACTTGTAGTTGTCGTTATATGCTGTCAAGTCACTTGTGACTCATAGTGACCCTATGTACAACAGCCCTAAACCCTGCTTTGTCCTGTGCCAATCTTATTGTCTCCAATACACCTACCCCCATTACCCCAGTCACTGAATCAATCCACCTCATAGAGTGTCTTCCCCTCCTGCGCTGCCCCTCCACCCTTTCAAGCATGACATCCTTCTCCTAGGACGTCTCCTTGCAACATGTCCAAAGTATGTCAGACAAAGCTTCAGAATCCTTGCCTCCAAGGAGTAGCCTGATTTCATCCTCTCTAGGACAAACTTGTTTGTTTTCCTGGCAGTCCATGGTATATTCAACATTCTTCTCCAGCACCACAGCTCAAAGTCACCAAGTAGTCTTCTATCCTCCCTAGTTAGTGTCTAGTTCTCTGACGCATAACAAGTGATTGCAAAGACCATGGCCTGTATCAGGTGCACCTTAGTCTCCAGAGTGACACCATTGCTCTTCAGTACTTTGAAGAGGTCCCCAACAGCAGGCCTTCCCATCACAATATGTCTTTTAATTTCCTGGCTGCTGGTGCCAAGAGTGTTGACTGTGGAGCCAAGCAAACTAAAGGTGTGAACAATCTCAATCTCTTCACCATCCATCTTCATGCTTGTTAAAAAAGGTCTGTCCTGAGAATTCTGCTCTTTTATGAAGTATCTACATGGGATCAAAATCAAGCAATTATATAGGAACCATAAGGTGCAAGAGTTTTTGTTAATAACATAAGAATAGCCCATAAAAAAGAGTGTGAACATGGATGCACAACTCAAAAGACTAATCAATGTCACTGATCATAGAGAAACAGCTGAATTGGTGTATGTTTTGCTATGTATATTCTCAACGAAAACAAGACAAAGCTAAATGTGTTAGAGAAAATTCTAAAAGCGCTGCTAATAATTTTATTCCGAATTAGACAAAGATGGAATTGGAATCCTTGCCTGTTTGATTAAATAAAAGTGGTTCTTGACTGAAAAAAAAAAATCCACAATTTTCTTTGGGCAGTTGTGTTTCTGCACGGTGTATTGCTTTCCCAGTTGTGGTGGTACAGCGGTTAAAACCTGCAGCTATCAACAGAAAGGTGGGTGTTTTGAACCCACTGACCACTTCTGCAAGAGAGATGTTAGCTTCCATAAAAGTGTACAGGCTTAGAAGCCCTACGCTACTGCTATCTGCTGAGCTTGGGCTGGAACTGAACCATAGTGGGTTTTCAGAGACAGTAAATCTCATGGGAGGACAGTGTCCATCCTTCTGCAGAGCAGTTGGTGGATTCAAACCATGTTCCTTTGGGATTGGAGCATAGCTTCTTAACCACCAGAGACCACCAGAGATCCCTTGGAAGTCCTATAGAGCAGTTGTATTCTGTCCTGTTGGGTCACCATGAGTCAAAATGGATACGATGGCAATGGGTAATTGCTTTGCTGGAACAGCCATGACTGCAGAGTGGCTAATAAGAACAGACAAACCTAAAACAGTTCTAGCAGCTAGAAGTCCTAGTCAGAGTGCCAGCTGGGCCATCCTTCCTCTGAGGGCGAACTGTGGTCTCTCTTAGCTTCTGATGGTTGCCAGTACCCTCGCTCGGTTTGTAGATCAATTTCTCTAGTCTCAGCTTGTTGTCATGTGACCTCTGTGTCTCTGTCCTTCTCTTTGATCTTATAATAAGTCATAGTGTGTTGAGGGCAGTTTGACCAGACTTCTAACAGATTCCCAGGTGATGCTGCTGCTGCTGCCCCTCTGAGGACCACATCTGCCGACCTTTTAATGGTTAAGAAGGAAGGCACCTCCAGGAACAGGATCAGAGATTACTGTTAGCAGTGCTGTCTACCATTCTTGTGCTTGGAGTTGATTTGGTTTGATGGTTGATTAGAGAATATGCTTTTTCAGTGTGTAATAACTACCAATTTTTTTAAATTTTATTATGTGTGTGTGTGTGTGTGTGTGCGCGCGCGCGCGTGTACCGTCAAATCAGATCTGACTGGTACAGGAGGAGATTGTCCCTCCTTCCCCGGCAGAGCATCTGGTGGGTTTGAACCGTGTGCCTCTGGGATTGTAGTTGCAGTTCCTTGCCACTAGGAATAACTACCAATTTTTGTTGTAAAAACTAGGCCACACCCCACTAGAATGACTGTACATTTAAAAATGAGAGTAGCAAGTATTGGCAAGGATGTGGAAAAACGATTTTTTCTGTGTCTCCTACACATATAAATGACACCACATCTAACTGGCCTCTCTAGCCAGAAAACTATAAATTTATTCACTATTTCCTGGAAGACGTTAATATTGGTTTTAGGTATTGTATATCACCTTAAGTATACAGACATACCTCAGAGATACTGGGGATTCACTTATTTACTGGAAGACGTTAATATTGGTCTTAAGTATTCTATCGCCTTATGTTAAGTATACAGACATACCTCAGAGATACTGGGGATTCAGTTCCAGACCACCACAGTAAAGCAAACAGTGCAATGAAGTAAGTCACAGTAATTTGCCCAGTTTCCTGGTGCATATAAAAGTCGTGTTTACGTTGTTCTGTATCTATTAAGTGCAAAAGAAGTATGGAAAAGTTGGAAATATTGTGTTAGTTCCCAAAATGTGACAGAGATACTCGAAGTAAACACATACTGTAAGAAAAAAATGGCTCAACACACAGGGTTGCTACAAGCTTTCAGTGTGTGAAAAACCATAACATCTACAGAGAGAAATAACTCATTTTCATTATAGCTGCTCCTCCAGGGGCTTTTCCAAGGCTGTGAATTGCAATGGAGGAGATGGCCCTTCTTTCTCTCAATTGCTGGTAGATTCCAACCACCAGAGAGCTGTTGGCTTTGAATTGGCGTAACTCCCTATGACCTGTGCCTATAGTTGGTATTAAAAAAAAAAAATAATTTAAGAAGTGGCAAGATGGTGTTGGAAAGCACTATGGTTTGTGTGGATAATAGTATATGCGGAATGGGGACTTCCTACCTACCCGGCTACAGGCCCAACAGGATGCTGTCAACATAGTTTGCCACTCCAAGACCCTCAGCAACCTTGAGAACAACGTGGGCCTCATCACATTGGCCAATGACTGTGAAGTGCTTACCACACTTTCCCCTGACACTGGCCGCATTCTGTCTAAGCTCCATACTGTCCAACCCAAAGGCAAGATCACCTTCTGCACTGGCATCCACGTGGCCCATTTGGCTCTGAAGCACCGGCAGGGCAAGAATCACAAGATGCGCATCATTGCCTTCGTGGGAAGCCCTGTGGAAGACAACGAGAAGGATCTGGTGAAATTGGCCAAACGCCTTAAAAAGGAGA